GCTATGTGTGGGCAGTTCCACCATAGGTGGATATATGTGCCTTGGTCGTCACACCCCTTCCAGCATCGGTCAGAGGGTGCTATGCGCATTTGTTTCAGTCTTAGGGGGGTGATGTACCAGCGGAGCATGGTTTTGTATGCTTGTTCTTTGTGTGTTACGCATATGGAAATTGCTGCTGGGGCTTCCCATATATCTTGCCAGTCTGATGGGTCCGTGATGGGGCCTATATCTCTTTCCCATGCCGCTGTATACGATAGGGCTTTGGGGGTGTTAGTGCGGTGTATGATGCCGTATACGGTGGATATCTGGTGTTACAAAGACTCGATATGACTTTATTATTGTTACCACATCTTGTTACTGTTGCATCCCTATACTATTGACACAGAGAAAATAAGAATGGATTATACGAATCCTTATAAAGAACCTTTCGTGGTACGAACGAGAGAACCCCCAAACGCTGGCGTGTGCCGCCACTTAACCTCATCACCCCTCAAAGTACAGAATGACCGACCACCCGACAAGTGGAGTGTGTCGCCCATTAACCCCCCAGGCTGCTGCGGTCTGCGGTTAACCACAAACTAATTGACGGGCACGGAGGATCTACGTTCGCATACAAATTACCGAAGGGAAACTAACGAAGAACTCACAAACGGAAACCTCCTACAGTGGGTCGTGTGGCAGCAATTAGAATGTGGTTTCTGCGGTTAACTGCAACTCAAGTACCGTGCTACCGGGCGGTCTCAATTCGTACACCGAACAAATTCCACTACCAGACAGACAGCGGGGATTCGCATGATAACATATCTGATTTCTGTTCCATAAGTTGGAGTCGAGGTCCCACTGCTCATTAAACCGCCTAAAAACATGGCCGCCATCAGGGACTCACGACCAAAGTATCGAACAGACTTTATACGGCAGGAATTGCCCATTCCGTTCACGGGGTCTGAGCGCCATTCATATATTTAATGTACCCAAACTCGAGCTATTGAATGAATGGTAGAATGAACCGTTTTCCCCTATTAATATTGAAGTTATGCATTTTTATACTGTTTTATGAGACAATAAAACGTGGGCTTTTGTGCGCTTGGAGATAATTAGATTGTATAACCGTTGGCCTCATTATCTCCAAGCTGGGCGGGTACTAATTCAAAGGATACATTGTACTGTGATAATGTCAGGATTACTGTTTGATCCAGCACGTAGAACTGTACAGCACGGATGACAAATAAGTAACGTATTACCGGTCCTTAGAATGGCCGGATTTAACGTACAAAGAATAGTCAAAAATACTAGCCGAGGTCAGGGAACACAGAAAGGGACACAGCGATGAGGAAAGCCAGGAGTCAGGATACCAGAATATAGAGAAGTCAATAAACAAAGCCAAAAGTCAAAAACCAGGTAGAAAACTATAAACAGGAACGCGCTCTCGGACAACCACAAGGGAAACCACGACAGGGCACTGAGCAGGCTGAGAACTGGGCCTAAATACCCCTCCTTTAGTTCTGATAGGCTGTAACCGGCCTTTGACCCCAAAAGTCAGTTACCAGGTTTCATTTATATAATTGCTGCTCAGCATTAACCCTTCTGTGGATTAGGTTGCTGCTCGGCACAACTTTTCCTGTGTGGACAGTAAATGTCATTAATCACTTTTCTCTAAGCGGATGAATACATGACACCAGGTTTCATTTGCACAATTACTGCTCAGCATTAAACCTTCTGTGGATTAGGTTGCTGCTCAGCACAACTTTTCCTGTGTGGACAGTAAATGTCATTAACCACATTTCTATAAGCGGATAAATATGTGACATTACCCCCCACCTGAAGAACGCCCACCGGGCGGACAGGACCAGGCTTGAGAGGAAATTTAGCGTGAAAAGCGCGGATCTTACGGCCCGCATGCAGGTCAGGAGCCGAAACCCAAGAACGATCAGCAGGACCGTAACCTTTCCAAACAACCAAGTACTGTAAGGTGCCCCGAGAAAACCTAGAAACCACGATAGAAGATACCTCATACTCTTCCTGACCACCCACCACCACTGGAGGGGGAGGAACACAAGGAACAGTATATCTATTGCAGACAAGAGGTTTGAGTAAGGAAACATGAAAAGTGTTGGGAATCCCTAAAGATGCAGGAAGAGCCAGAGAGTAAGACACTGGATTGATCCTACGAAGCACTCTATAGGGACCAAGGAATCTGGGGGCAAACTTCATGCTAGGGACCTTAAGCTTGATGTTGCGAGATGACAACCAAACCCGGTCCCCCACTTGGTACACCGGGTTGGCACTCCTACGCTTATCAGCAAAATGTTTGAAGCGTTCAGCAGCAGCCCCTAGAGCAGTTTGAACCTTAACCCAGGTATCCCGAATGGAGGCCAGACGCTCATCCAGAGCAGGAATGGCAGTATCAGAAAATACCGCAGGGAGAACCGTAGGATGCCTACCATTATTGACAAAAATGGACTGTGCCCAGAGGAGTCATGAACAGCATTGTTTCTAGCGAACTCGGCCCACGGGAGTAGTTCGGACCAATTGTCTTGTGTGCTATTAATAAAACAACGCAAATAAACTTCTAATGACTGGTTAGCCCTCTCAGCTGTACCATTGGTCTGTGGATGGTAGGAGGAGGAGAAGGAGAGATCAATCCCCAATTGTTTACTGAACGCCCTCCAGAACCTGGACACAAACTGAGAGCCCCTATCAGACACAATATTGTGGGGGATGCCATGCAAACGGACAATTTCACGTATGAAAATTAGGACCAAATCTTGCGAAGATGGCAACTTCTTGAGAGGAATGAAGTGAGCCATCTTAGAAAAATCGGTCTACAACCATGAGAATAGTAGTGAACCCAGCAGAGCTAGGAAGCTCAACAATAAAGTCCATGGATAGGTGGGACCATGGAATCTCAGGAACAGGAAGAGGCTGCAACAGGCCACAAGGAAGTGCATGAGTCACCTTAGAAACTGCACACACAGAACATGCCTGCACATACTCCTTTACATCTTTCCTGAGTGAATCCCACCAAAATGATCTAGTGATCGCGGCAGTGGACTTATTGATGCCCGGGTGTCCAGCAGTTATATTGTCATGGAACACTTTCATGATATTAACCCTTTCACATAGGGGAACGAACAGTTTATCACACGGTTTACCACTGGGCGCCTGAGGCTGGGCCTCCAGTATGGTGCCAAGCAGTGGAGAAGACAGTGAGAGGACAGTAGTAGCAATAATACACTCTGCTGGAATAATAGGAGATGTCATCTGTTCCGGAGCTGACTCATTATCAAATTGCCTGGACAAGGCATCAGCCTTGGTATTTTTAGAACCAGGTCTATAAGTAATGAGAAAGTTAAAACGTGAAAGGAACAGTGACCATCTAGCCTGTCTGGAAGACAAACGTTTGGCATCCCCTATATATGCCAGATTTTTGTGGTCGGTTATGATCAACAGGGGGTCCTTGGAACCCTCCAAAAGATGTCGCCACTCCTTGAGGGCAAGAATAATGGCCAACAGTTCTCTATTGCCAATATCATAGTTGCGCTCAGCAGGAGACATCTTTCTGGAGAAGTAGCCACAAGGATGCAATGGTGTTTCCTGGCTTTCTCTCTGAGAGAGAACAGCCCCTACCCCTGTCTCGGATGCATCAACCTCCAATATAAAAGGTTTACTAGTGTCGGGATGTTTTAGTATGTCCGCAGAGGCAAATCTTTGTTTAAGAGTCTCAAAAGCATTCACAGCCTCTTTGGACCATACCGTGCTACTAACCCCTTTGCGAGTCATATTTGTGATTGGGGCTATTACAGAAGAAAATCCCTTGATGAATCTTCTGTAATAGTTGGCAAAACCAATAAACCTTTGAATGGTTTTTAAACCAGAGGGTAATGGCCAGTGTAGTACAGCCTCTAGTTTTTTAGGATCCATTTGAAATCCCGATGCAGAGATGTTGTAACCCAAAAAGTATGCACTTCACCAAATATGCACTTTTCTAATTTGCAATAAAGTTTATTTTTCAACAACGTCTGCAGAACCTGTTTCACATGGGAGTGGTGAGTCTGAAGATCAGGGGAATACACCAAAATATCGTCCAAATAAACCAAGACAAATGAGTAAATGAATTCCCTGAGTACATCATTTATAAAGTCTTGGAATACGGCCGGGGCGTTGCATAACCCAAATGGCATTACCAGATATTCATAGTGTCCACTACGGGTATTAAATGCCGTCTTCCACTCATGATTCTCTTTAATTCTAACCAAATTGTAAGCGCTCCTAAGGTCAAGCTTAGTAAATACTTTAGCTCCCTGAAGTCTATCGAACAATTCGGAAATGAGTGGGATAGGGTATGCATTTTTTACAGTGATTTTATTAAGTGCCCTGTAGTCTATGCAAGGGCGTAACTCACCACCCTTTTTCTCAACAAAAAAGAATCCTGCACCAGCTGGTGAGGATGACTTTCTTATGTGCCCTTTGCTCAAGGATTCTTTGATGTATTCCTCCATTATTTTACTCTCCTGGGGAGATAAGGCATAAACTGCCCCTTTAGGTGGCATAGCGCCTGGAAACAGGTTAATGGCACAGTCATATGCTCTGTGGGGAGGCAATACATCAGATTGAGCCTTGTTAAACACCTCCTGAAGTTCTCGGTATTGTATGGGAACTCCAGGAGTTTGGGGAGTGGTAGTGGGAAGGTCAATAGTATCCAATCTCTTTAGTACTGGTTTTATACATCTCCCCATACACTCTTTACCCCATTCTAATATCTCCCCATTAGCCCAGTCAATATAGGGATTGTGCTTACTCAGCCACGGAAACCCTAATATGATAGGACATGATGGAGACGTAATAACCTGAAACGTCATCTCCTCAATGGAGATCGTAATAGGGACAGTTTCGTGGGTTATAAGCGGTTGTGTGAGTGGTCTACCATCAATAGCCTCTACAGCTAGCGGCGTAGGTCTCTCCCTGACCGGTATCTCATTACCCCTAATAAACTGGACATCAATAAAATTTCCAGCAGCACCTGAGTCCATTAGGGCACTGCAAGAAAACTTCTTGCTATCAAGGGAAATAGATACCTCAAGGAGGAATCTACTTTTGTTTTTGTTAGAGGACAACTCCATCACACCTAAGATCTGTCCCCTTAAGGTTCTTAGGTGCGGAAGTTTTCCGGACGCACTGGACAATTAGTTATCATATGTCCCTTTCTACCGCAATATAGGCATAACCCCTCCCTTCTCCTATACTGTTTTTCGGCCTCTGACAGTCTAGTGACCCCCAACTGCATAGGTTCGGGTTCGGACTGTACAGGGAGGTTAGACAAAACAGGTTTAGAGAATTGAGGTGCTAGGGACATAGCCGTACGTCTGGTCTTGCTTCTGGTGACTTCTCTGAGTCTTAACCTATTATCAATATGCATGACAAACGTAATAAATTCGTTAAGACTCTTAGGTAATTCTTTAGCGGCTATCTCATCTAGTATAGTCTCTGAGAGACCCCTTTTGAATGCTGAGATTAACCCATTGTTAGTCCAGTCTACCTCGGAAGCTAAGGTACGGAATTCAATAGCATAATCCGAGATAGACCGGTTACCTTGTCTGATGTGCATTAGGGCAGTGGAGGCGTCATCCTCTCTACCCAATGGCTCAAACGTGAGCTTGAATTCGGCAAGGAATTCCTGGTAATTATGAGCTATGCTCCGATTACTCTCCCACAACGGATTAGCCCAGGCAAGGGCCTTGCCCTTTAATTGATTCATTAGATAACCAATTCTTGCTCTGTCCGTGGGGAATGACCCTGGTGAGGCCTCAAAATGGTACTCCACCTGATTAAGAAAACCCCTGCATTTCTGGATATTGCCATCAAACTGTAGGGATGGTGATAAGGAGATGCTAGGAGTCATATTAACAGTGGGTGGAGGTACACAGGGTAGAGGTGCTATAGGAGGAGACGCTGCAGGCTGCAGATGCTCCGTTCTAGCGAGAAGCGTACTTAAAGCCTGAGTGAATTGATCCATGCGGTGATCATTCTCCTCTAATTTCCTCTCGCAAGCAGCTATGTGCTGACACAGTTCTACAGGATCTATGGCCATGTCGTAATGTCAGGATTACTGTTTGATCCAGCACGTAGAACTGTACAGCACGGATGACAAATAAGTAACGTATTACCGGTCCTTAGAATGGCCGGATTTAACGTACAAAGAATAGTCAAAAATACTAGCCGAGGTCAGGGAACACAGAAAGGGACACAGCGATGAGGAAAGCCAGGAGTCAGGATACCAGAATATAGAGAAGTCAATAAACAAAGCCAAAGTCAAAAACCAGGTAGAAAACTATAAACAGGAACGCGCTCTCGGACAACCACAAGGGAAACCACGACAGGGCACTGAGCAGGCTGAGAACTGGGCCTAAATACCCCTCCTTTCTTTCTGATAGGCTGTAACCGGCCTTTGACCCCAAAGTCAGTTACCAGGTTTCATTTGCATAATTGCTGCTCAGCATTAACCCTTCTGTGGATTAGGTTGCTGCTCGGCACAACTTTTCCTGTGTGGACAGTAAATGTCATTAACCACTTTTCTATAAGCGGATGAATACATGAGACCAGGTTTCATTTGCACAATTACTGCTCAGCATTAAACCTTCTGTGGATTAGGTTGCTGCACGGCACAACTTTTCCTGTGTGGACAGTAAATGTCATTAACCACATTTCTATAAGCGGATGAATACGTGACAGGGAGGACAGTAGGTCCCCCCCCTCATTAGTCTTTGTGGCCCCCACCCGCCGCCCAGGGGTGGGGGCCAGGGGGGGGAGGACAGTAGTTCCCCCCCTCATTATCTTTGTGGCCCCCACCCACCACCCAGGGGTGGGGGCTGGGGGGAGAGGACAGTAGGTCCCCCCCCTCATTAGTCTTTGTGGCCCCCACCCGCCGCCCAGGGGTGGGGGCTGGGGGGAGGACAGTAGGTCCCCCCCCATTAGTCTTTATGGCCCCCACCCGCCACCCAGGGATGGGGGCCAGAGGGGGGTGGACAGTAGGTCCCCCCTCATTATCAATATGGCCCCCAGGGGTGGAGGTGGGGGGGACAATAGGTACACCCCCTTATTGTTATTAGGGCCCCCACCCACCGCTCAGGGGTGGGGGCCGGGGGGGACAGTAGGTCCCCCCCTCATTATCTTTATGGCCCCCACCCGCCGCCCAGGGGTGGGGGCTGGGGGGGAGGAGAGTAGGTCTCCCCCCCTTCAACCAATAAGAGTCCTTGTGGGTTTTAAAATTCGCCTGCCCATTGAAGTCTATGGCGGTTGGCCCGGTTCGCGGGTTTGCGAACATTTGCCGAAGTTCGGGTTCGCCATTCGCGAACCGAAAAATTCACGTTCGCGACATCACTATCCACTGGCTGTGTTGATATTGCAGAATTAAAATTTCCACATAATTAATGTAAATTTAATCAAACCTGAACAACATTCATTGACTGATTGTACTGGAATCTTCATAATGTCAGCAAGACAGGAAGGCCTTCCACAGTTTGGATGTTCTACTAGGTATTAAACATTTACTATTTTTGTTGTTCTCATATGATTGCTTTCATGTGCATAGTTTTCTTTCAGTGTTTTTAAGTTTGACCATCCTTTTCCCCCCACATTGTTAAATACATCCTTGACCTTCTGCCAAAATTGTTGACTTAGTAGAGTTTGATCCAAACAGGTTCGTTTCATTGTCTGCAACAGAAATAATCAGGGCAAAGCTTTTGTTGTGGCTGAAGTGAAGTCCCCTTTTTTTTTTAACAATTATATTCTGTGCGGACTATGCATGTACTGTTACGGGCAAATGCAAATATTAGATATTAGTTAAAATATTAAAATATTAGTTTTAGAATGAAATTATGTATTTCTTAAATTGTGTACTTTGTCAATAAGACATATTGCAAACTGACAAGGTGTTAGAAATGAAGCATATTGTTTTTCATACAATGTTTCTTTAATAAATTATCTCTTTACCCATATTTAGTGAATACAATGTTCAGACTTTAGAAAGCCATCTTGTCCCAAGTTAATGGAGATTCTCCAAATCCGGGAATTTCCCATGACATGTGCACTTATGTTTTAGTATAAACAATAGATAAGATGTTCAGACTTTAAGAAGCCATCTTGTCTCAAGTTAGTGGAAATTCCCCAAATCCGGGAAATTCCCATGACGTGGGCACTTACGTTTTAGTTATGGCCTTGTAACTTTGCCAAGTTAAGGGAGGTCCTAAAAACATCTAAGATATAAATATGTGTACCTTTTTAAGTGTTAAGACACAGAGAGGAGGGATTTAGAGACAGACGCTCCACCTTATAATGACAGAGAGGCTGACATGATGACATGTTCAGGTGGGTATGTTTATCTATTAAGATATTGCAAGCATCTAGTTTAACCCCTTAAGGACACAACTTCTGGAATAAAAGGGAATCATGACAGAATATTTCCGTCATGTGTCCTTAAAGGGTTAATTTTATAAACTCTGCTATAAATTATTGTAATGGATTTTATATGTCTATATTTATATTTTTTATATAATAAATATCTAAAAAGACAAAACTTTAATCCTTTCAAGACAATCCTTATTTTATATTGTATTCTCAATTATTTATATATTTTAAATAGAGGATCTCTTACTAACTATATAAAATTATTTAAGATATCTGTATGGTTAGCCCTGCTAAGTTCTATGCTTTAAGACGTTATAGTGGTAAATAGGGGAACCAGCTGCGGTTACAATTGGCGCCCAACGTGGGGCCTATACTTGGAAGCTTTAACTATAAAATAATGTATATATACCTAGGTAACCTCTTATACGTAAGAGAAGACACAATACTTCATGGCACAAGTCTTGAAATATCAAGAATTTAATGAGTTATTTGTAGCCCAGACTCGGAGAGAGATCTTCATTATGAAGAAATTATTTTAATGTGAACTTGTACAAGACACTTGGAGTTCAGGTGCCAGGTACATTGTAATTAACATACAATGCTGACATTGTGGATCTTACTTAGTATCATAAGAGAACATATATACCTATTTGGTAAACTCCCTAATATGCCTAATACACTAGCATAGCATGATCCATTAGTTCCCGGACAGTGGGTTGTAGGCAGGGAGCCATGTTCTCTCTGTAGCTGCATAGTTTGTATTCTAGAAAAAAAAAAAAAAGATTATTGCAAGATGTTATCAAGAGAAAAGCGATAAGACAATGAAAGCAACACTTGCTATTATATTACTAATCGATTTTGAAGTCTAATTCCAAGAATGCAAAGAAAATTGTATTATGGCTTAATGAAAACATTCATGCCACGGAAGCAACAGAGAGACAGGATTTTTAATTATTGCAATACTTTGTTCTGGATTGTAATATCCACTATATATAAAAAGTTTATAAAACAGTGATAATTTCCATATTGTCAGTTACACTTGCTGTTGATTAAAAAATCAGGAATTATAACAGCATATTATTTTGGAGTCTGGAATTTCTAAGCAAAAGGTTGCGGAGCAGCCTTGATGGCCAGAGAGTTATAAGGACAGATAAACATGCTTCCATCCAAGGAATTGAGAAGTCGTTTTTTGTTTTGTTTTTTATATTCCAAATTATAAACAACTTGATTACACACAGCCATAAAGAAAATTTGCTTTTTAAAACATTAATTGCAGTACAATGCAGTACACTGCAACATATCTTTTATATAATATATGCTAACTAGCTTATATTTTTACATAAACAGAGTTGAAAATGTTACTTCCCCCTAGAAAAATCTGTTAATATGCTGCGTAGTTCTAACATACAGCATTTTGTCTTAGCTTAATACAATAACAATTAATACGTAAACAGATTCAAGGCTAAACTGCGTAGTTCTAACTTATGTCATTTTGTCCCAGACAAACTACAATAACATATTCAAGGCAATAATTAAAACCTAATTATTGAAAGGTTTTATTTAAATTAAATGTTAAATACATTTACAGCTTTAAATGTAACCAAAAGATACTAAATAATGTGTTAAGTCAAGTTGGTCCAATTCACTAGAATAGCATAAGTATTCTACTATTTAAATTGCACAATTCCTGCACATAATGACTTTGGTCTATTGCAATGGCAGAAGGATTAAAGTCCACCATTTTTAAAAGGGAAAGCTTACTTAAATAAGTGGTACCATCCCACTGAAGCTATATAAATGTTGTTTATATATAAATATATCAATGTTG